AGCGAGAACTTCATCTTTCAGCATGACAACGACCCAAATATTACATCCAAATCAACGAAGAAATGGCTTCACCAGAAGAAGATTAATGTTTTAGAATGGCCCAGCCAGAACCCAGACCTGAATCTGATTGAATATCTGTGGGATGATCTTTAATGAGACCTATGAACTGTACAACTCAGTTGAACAACAAACTGAAATCTTTTAGGTGGAGGGAAGATTGCAAGGGCGTCTGCTGTGCTGCTTCATAAAAGCTAATGCCTATAGTGCATTAAGGTGTTGATAAAGGAACATTGATAAAACTTGGGGGGGGGGCAAGGAAAGCCATCAAACATTGGCTTTCAGTGGGGGTGGAGGGAAGGCTCGCAATCTTACAGTGACAAGCTTAGAGACCCCACTGTACCGTGTCCAGTTCTGGACACCACACTCTGAGAAGGATGCCAACAAACTCGAGCAAGTTCAGAGGAGGGCAACGGGGATGATCAGGGGGCTGGAAACCAAGCCCTGTGAAGAAAGGCTGAAAGAACTGGACATGTTTAGTCTGGATTAAAAAAATAAGACTGAGAGGAGATACAATAGCACTTTTCAAATACAGAGGAGGGGCAGGATCTGCTCCTGATCATCCCAGTGTGTAGGACACACAACAATGGACTCAAGTTACAGGAAGCGAGATTTCAGTTGAATATCAGGAAAAACATCCTGTTAGAGCAGTGTGGCAATGGAATCAGTTTTCTTAGGTGGTGGTGAGCCCTCCAACACTGGAAACATTCAAGAGACATAACAGAACTGGAAAAGGTGCAGAAGAGAGTGACTAAAATGATGACAGGGATGGAGCACCTCCATTATGAGAAAAGGCTACAGCATTTGGGGCTCTTTATTTTAAAAAAAAGGCACCTGAGGTGGGGACATGATTGAGATATATAAAATTATGTAGGGGATGGATAAAGTGGATAGAGGGAAGCTCTTTTCCATATCACACGATACCAGAACCAGGGGACATCCTCTCCAATCGAGTGTTAGGAAAGTGAGAACAGGCCAAGAAAATATTTCTTTATGCAGCATTTTGTTAGTCTGTGGAACTCCTTGACACAGGATATGGTGATGGCATCTGGCTTAGATGCCTTGAAAAGGGGATTGGACAGATTTCTGGAGGAAAAGTTCACCGCAAGTTACAAGCCATGATGGGGATGTATCATCTCCAGGCTTAAAAGGAAGGTACCTCAAAATGGCAGATCCAGGGAACGGGTATCAGGAGACAGGTATCTAGTTGTCTCGTGTGTTTCCAGAGGCCTCTGGTGGGATCAGCTTTGACTTAGATTCCGCACTGAGCAGGGTTTGGACTCAATGGCCTTATACGCCCCTTCCAACTCAATTCTATGATTTTGTGGAGATTAATGAATTAGGCCAGTGGTTCTTAACCTTGAGTTACTCAGGTGTTTTTGAACTGCAACTCCCAGAAATCTCAGCCAGCACAGCTGGTGGTGAAGGCTTCTGGGAGCTGCAGTCCAAAAACAGCTGAGTAACCCAAGGTTAAGAACCACTGGATTAGGCAAACCCTGTTCCCAAATGTGATAAGGAAGAGGACTAGCTAAAGATGGCAGTTGGTCAACCCCCAAATCAGCATTGTTCTGTGTAAAAGGGTCATCAGGCAATCAATGGGTTTCTGGGTGCCCACATCTTTCTTTTTGTTTTGTTTTCCATAGAGTACTGCAAGTTCCTACAGTGCTTTACAAAACCTAATTAATTAGTTTGCCTGAATACTTTGCCTGACATTTGTAGCAATTGCCTTGTGTGAGAGAAAGCATGCTTACAGAAACTATTTTGTATTTTAAAAGAACCCCGAAATCCATTGAACAAAACTGATGGGAAATAAAAACTGCTTAAAATTTAAGTGTTTTAAGCACAAGACTCCCCCCACCCCACCCCATACAAATGACCCACAGTTTATACAAAAAATCTAATCTCTTTGTTATTCCAGATTTTTACATTAATATGGAGGAAGGAAGAATTATTTTGTTATTATTGTTGTTAAACAGCAGGGAGTCAGCATTTACCAAAACTGTAGGTACTTAGGAAGTTGAATTTGGGAAGTGAAAGAAGGGCATGTTCTGGTCTGGAAAACAGTTCATGAGCAGGGTGGATTCTCTGGGCTGAGTCTTAATTTCTCAAGCAAGCTTCATCAACAGTTGAGGCTCAGGATGTCCCGGCTGTTGTGATTTTGAGGGTGGCTTGTACAGTAGGTAAACATAAATAAAAGGACAGGTAGTAACCATTACTGAGAAACACAGGCAAGGTGAGGCAAACTGCAAGTTTGGAGTCCCTGCAAGATCCTTGCCACCGCCCAGGTTTCACAAACGACAGGTCGCAACTTTTGGATACTTGGCTCTATGTAAATCCTCACGATGCCCTGACTTTGATCTCCTGTGAACCAAAATCAGAACAGGTATTAAAATGCATTAAATATGAAATAACTCTGGACCCAACAGTGTTGTTTTATCTTCTTTTATGTTACACTTTCTCCTCGGCACCTAAAGTCTACATTCCTGCTTCTTGCCACCTTGGCGCACTAGCAAATATGGCTTTGGTGTGATTCTGCTTCCCATAATTCTACATTACCTTATTCTGCGTGCTCCACGGGGCATTTTATTCCTTGGGGATGTCTACACAATGCTGTTTAGCCACATTTATTTTAAATGTTTACCAGTTTCGCGCTAACATCCAATAAATCAGCCTTTATAGCAAACAGCTTTAGAAAGGTGACTTAGAGGGTATATCCCTCGCTTGAACTATGTCTTGCTGAAGGAAGTTTTAATATCCAAATTATAGCTCTGAGTCTGGAAGGCATTGAGATCACAGAGATTTATAGCCCCTATTAATAACCAATTATTTCTCAAACACATTTGCCACGCAGTAAGGCCTGAGCTGTCAGATGGTCTGAAATGCTAAATGTTCTGTTAAAGTGCAATGACAAACATCATATATTTTGTGTTGATGCTGCCTTCCTGGCCATCAGTGCCACAAAACAGTCGCGCACATCTTTCTTGAATTGAATGAATGAATTGAATGAATGAATGAATTGAATGAATGACCCTTCAGCTGCGCTGCTGGATGAGAGATAGTGGGAGCAGGATCTTGTCCTATCAGCAATCTTTCTCTGACACTTCTAACACAGAGGAATATTAAACCTTGTGTTTCCAGATTTCCAAGTTGGCAGTGGCTGTGGAGAGATTGTGGCTGAAAAAATGGCTTATCATCAGTGGCGCTAAATGTAGTTGCAATTCTTGCAGTTGCTAGGGAGAGTAGATTTCCTCAGCAACAGTATCTCGTTGTGTGTGATCCTTGCTGTGATGCAAAGGGCTTGGAGATAGCTTGGCCTTGAATGGACAAGTATGTTCCCTCAGCTTGCCCAAATGTCTACCCTTGCTGGAGCTAGAACTGCTGCAGCTGCTTGTAGGTGTGAGTCAGCATTGCTGTGAGAATTTGGAGGCCTCTCTGTTGGAGTAACATAATAATGGAGTAACATAATAATGGCGCCTGCAGATTTTATAATCTTGTAACAATAATGTTAGAACTGTCCCTGTCCCAAGTCCCTGTTAAGAAGATACAGTGGGAAATCGAACTCTCAAACTCTGGCTCCACTGCCAGATACCTAAACCAATAAGCTATCCAGCATTTCTTGGGAATTTTATTTTAATTTTTTACACTGCTGCTCCTAGAATCTATAGTCACTCACAACTTAGAAATGTTTCCATGCTCTGGGTGGCTGCTGAACTCCCGCAATTCCAGACTTACCACTCATCACTACACCATTGCCTAGAGTACTGAACAACTTCTCTACTAGAAAGTGTAAAAATATCTGGGACTTTTTGAGGGGGTGGGAGATAATATAGTGTTACACATAAACCCATATATAAATATTTGCTGCAGTATGTTGTATCTCTCACTTATGTCTGAGGAAGTGGACTCATCCACGACAGATCACATTAAAGTATAACAGTTAGTCTTTAATTTTTGTCTCTTTTATTTGTTCTTCTGTTTTTCTTTGTTTGTTTGTTTTTAACCCATAATTGCTTGTACAGATTAACATGGTTACCTCATCTACACCTACAGTGGGGTCTTGACTTGAAAACTTAATCTTTATTGGAAGGCGGTTCTCAAGTCAAAAAGTCTGTAAGTCAAGTCTCCATTGACCTACAGTGCATTGAAAACCGATTAATCCCGTAACAGGCCGTTTTTGTTCCATTTTGGTTTTTTTCTGGTCTGTAAGTCAATTCTCAGGCTGTAAGTCAAACCTAAATTTTGTGGCCAGAGAAGTCTGTAACTCAAAAAGTCTGTAAGTCAAGCCGTCTGTAAGTCAAGGGTCCACTGTAAAACCAAGCAAGGAGTGCTGCTCCTTAAGAAAAATCCCAAAATCCACAGGAAGGCAACACCTTTATTAGGACCAGTAAAATATGCACACAAGATTGTAAGCAAACTTTGGAAATTCCAGGATGAGTTTCCCAAATATTTTTATGCAATTATTAGTTCCATCCCACCTCCACACAACACATATAGAAAGTGATATTTTGCAATTAGATATATTTTGAAGTAAATGATTTAAAATATTTGGTAAAACTATTTAAATAATGATTTTTTGTCCAGATTAATATGTATATAGGGCAGAAGAGGTTTCCCGCTCAGTGCACAGAAAAGCAACATGACCTCAAATAGATTTGTCCATCTCTAGTACCTGAGACTGTGGTCACACAAGTCTCCACGACTTTTAATTGTGTCCCTGTTGTGCTTTGCAGTCACGTGCCATATACTATCCCAGGATGTGTGTCCCAGTGAGTTTTTGAAACACTGCAATATTTCCTTCCAATTCAGTAAGCGCCTAGAGCTTCTTGTTGAGGCCATTTGACAGAAGTTAACTGACACATCCACACAAGAGCTCATAGTATAAATGACAGATTACATTCCAGTACTACATGTTCTGAACTCTATACTGTTCTCTTTCTCTTTAGCCTTGTTTACAGTATTGGCCTGAGCCAGGATTGCAGCAGTACGGGCCGATGGAAGTGGAATTCATTTCTAGATCAGCTGATGAGGATGTTATTGCTCGTCTTTTCCGGGTACAGAATATAACACGGGTAAGAAGCCTAAAATATCATGCTGTTTTGGGAATTTGCATGTACATTTTTTAAAATGACTCATTTTCCTCTAAAAAAAGAACTTCTGATATTATTTTTTCCAGTGTATTTTCTTAAAATTATGTTAAAATGAATTATTTTGCTTATGTGGTGGGTTTTCAAGTATATTTTGAGGATATGTTTTTATCTCAAGTTTTACACTGGTTACCTGACAATGGAATGAAACAAAAATTCCTAGGGTTTCCTATCCAGGAACATTTTTCTCTAGAAAATCTAGCCCGGAGATAGCAAAACAAGAGATCTGTTACCAGATGCACACCTTCTTTTTAAACCATCTCTAAGCTTTGATAGCTTAGAGATGGTTTAAAAAGAGGGTGTGGCAAGAAGGGTGTGGCAAGAAGGCAAGAATAAACATCGGAATCCTGGGCGTCAGTGAACTAAAATGGACGGGAATGGGTGAATTCAATTCCGACGATTATCATATCTACTACTGTGGGCAAGAATCCTGTAGAAGAAATGGAGTAGCCCTCATAGTCAAGATAAGAGTGGGAAAAGCTGTACTGGAATACAATCTCAAAAATGACAGAATGATTTTAATACGAATCCAAGGCAGACCTTTCAACATCACAGTCATCCAAGTTCATGCACCAACCACTGATGCTGAAGAAGCTGAAATTGACCATTTCTATGAAGACTTACAACACCTTCTAGGACTGACACCAAAGAAAGATTTTCTCATTATAGGTGACTGGGATGCTAAATTAGGGAGTCAAGAGATAAAAGGAACAACAGGGAAGTTTGACATTGGAGTACAAAATGAAGCAGGACAAATACTAATAGAGTTTTGTTAAGAGAACAAACTGGTCATCACAAACACTCTTTTCCAACAACACAAGTGGTGACTCTACACATGGACATCACCAGATGTGCAATACCGAAATCAGGTTGATTATGTTCTCTGCAGCCAAAGATGGAGAAGCTCTATACAGTCCGCAAAAACAAGACCTGGAGCTGATTGTGGCTCTGATCAACAGCTTCTTATAGCAAAATTCAAGCTTAAACTGAAGAAAGTAGGAAAAACCACTGGGCTAGTCAGGTACTGTATAATCTAAACCAAATCCCTTATGAATACACAGTGGAAGTGAAGAACAGATTTAAGGAACTAGATTTGGTGGACAGAGTGCCTGAAGAACTATGGACGGAGGCTCATAACATTGTACAGGAGGCAGCAACCAAAACCATCCCAAAGAAAAGGAAATGCAAGAAAGTAAAGTGGCTGTCCAATGAGGCCTTACAAATAGCAGAGAAGAGAAGGGAAACAAAATGCAAGGGAGATAAGGAAAGTTATGAAAATTGAATGCAGACTTCCAAAGAATAGCAAGGAGAGACAAGAGGGGCTTCTTAAATGAGCAGTGCAAAGAAACAGAGGAAAATAATAGAAAGAGAAAAACCAGAAATCTGTTCAAGAAAATTGGAGATATTAAAAGAACATTTTGTGCAAAGATGGACATGATAAAGGGCAGAAATGGTAGGGACCTAACAGAAGCAGAAGCCATTAAAAAGAGGTGGCAAGAATACACAGAGGAATTATACCAGAAAGATCTGGATGTCCTGGACAAACCAGATAGTGTGGTTGCTGACCTCGAGCCAGACATCCTGGAGAATGAAGACAAGTGGGCCTTAAAAAGCATGGCTAACAACAAGGCCAGTGGAGGTGATGGCATACCATGAATTTGACCCATCTCCGGGAGGCAGTGGAAGACAGGAGGGCCTGGCGTGCCCTGGTCTATGGGGTCACAAAGAGTTGGACACGACTTAACAACTAAACAACAACAAAGCTTTCTTAATGTGCATGCAGACACAGACATGGAAAACAAAACAAAAAACCAAGGAAGACATTTATGGTTTATAATTCATGGACCACTTTCATTCACCTTACTTCCTGCCCTCCCCTTCTCCCCTGTCATGCAGCCTTGCTCAGAGAATCAAGCTATTTTCCTTTCCCCTTCTGTTTCCTCCACTCATTGTCTTGCAGAATTGATTTGGCATAAAAATGAGTTTGGAAGAACTAGTCAAAAGCAACAATTTGGTTCTAATTCTTTCTTTTTTTTCCCCCTAGTAACCAGAGCATAACTAAATTACTTAATTTAATTGAGTGAATACATGTTCACTTAATTGTTGCTGCCTCATGAGGAATATTTCCACTCTTTTGCGGTTTAATTGATACTTTTGCCTAACTCCATTGTTGTGATGGTATGATCTTATTAAATGATGAAGTGCTGGCTCATCCTGTGCTCTCTGCTGCTGCGTTCTGCTCCGTTGTGAGTGTTGAGGTCACAGGCAGGTGGATGGCAGGAACACTTGTTCTGTATCACCGGCGAGCAGAGGATTGTATTTTCATTTTTTAAAAGTTATCTAAAAAGTACCTATTTTTCATGCTCTTGAGAAATAAAAAAGGAAAGAAGTAGGGATAAAAATTGAACTACTATAGTGGTAACTAAGAGGGACGTGGTGGCGCTGTGGGTTAAACCGCAGAAGCTTCTGTGCTGCAGGATCGGAAGACCAGCAGTCATAAGATCGAATCCACGCAATGAAGTGAGCTCCTGTTGCTATGTCCCAGCTCCTCACCAACCTAGCAGTTTGAAAGCATGCAAATGCGAGTAAATAAATAGGTACCATCTTGCTGGGAAGGTAACAGTGTGCCTAAGTCGCGCTGGCCACGTGACAACGGAAACTGTCTTTGGACAAAAGCTACTCTACGGCTTGGAAATGGGGATGAGCACCGCCCCCTAGAGTCGGACACGACTGGACTAAATGTCAAGGGGAACCTTTACCTTTACCTAGTGGTAACTAACCATCCCTGGGAACTTAGGAACTTTAACTGTAGCAAACCACTTTTTTTATAGTAGCTTTCAAAGCTTTGGAGATGCCATAGCTGTTCCCTCTCTGTTCTCTTGCTGAAGATGCAGGGCTCATTCTTAATCAGCATCAGATGATACCACATTATCCAGCTCCTGCCAACACTTGTCTTTGCAGGCTATGTCTTGAATAATTGCAGGCAGGCACAGTGGTGATAGAATTCAGGGAACCGAATGTCATCAGACACAGATTCCTTCCTGGTGTTTCCCAAGAAACTCAGCAGCCAGTGGCATGAGCTTGAGTTTCATCGGAGGGAGGAGAAAAGAAGGGAAGAAAAAGAAAAGAAGTGTGGAAGGAAAGGGACTACAGCTTAGTGGCAGACTTCATGCTTCCCCAGGTCCTACCTCTCTCATCCATATGAAAAGGATGCTAACATCCCCAGGTAGCAGGTCTTGTAAAAACACTGTCTAGAGCCACTGTCTTCTGGGCTAAGCAACATTCAGCTGGATAGGGAAGTGGACCCAACTGATATAAAATGGCTTTCAATGTTTCCTTTCCCCCATTTATACTCCTTCTCAGATTGGAACACTTTCAGAAGTCAATTTATTAACTTGCTCTGCCTTTTGATAACCAGAGCTCTCCAGGCAATGTACCAATCGTTAAAAATATCAAATAGTAACAATGAAACAATGACTGGAATTTTTATTCCCAGTTTTCTCATGAATTTTCCATATATAAAAATGAGTGAAAATTGTAATGCACTTTCAGAAAATGTATTGTTGTAAACATTTCTCTCTCCCCCCCCCCTAAAATATGCATCTTTTTAATATATGGGAACTATATCCCAAAATATGGCGAAGTTCCCAGATCAAAGTGTTTGCGGTGTTTTGAGTCTGTATTAGTCCGGGAAGTGCAGATCAGATTTGCTTACAGTTGTATAGCAACTAACATTCTTGATTATGTTCATTACTCTCTCAAATTGAAATTTCAGCAGAACTCATCCAAATGCTTAAGATCTCGCGGACAGATAAATGCATCCAAACTTTTTGCTGATAGCTCAAGAAACCGATTATTGGTCACCCTCTCTCACTCCTGTATTCTTCCTGCCCCAACCCATTATAAAAGCATTAATAGCAGCTTGAGTGCAAGTCCCAGTGATTCATCTGATAAGCCAGTCTTGATTCGCTCGGTGTTCTCATCACCCACAGAATCTCCTGATTTGGTACTGAGCTCTGCCTCCACCTGTGTTAAATCCTGGGCAATCTTAGCTGTGTGCACATAATCCCCCTCCTACTAGAGCCCTTTAACCACATTAGATTGCAAAAATAACTAGATTACCAATGTATTAAAGGGCACCCTCTCCTTGGTTTCCTTGCCTTTCAAGATTTCTCCCCTTCCCCTGACATACACATAAAGTTTACAGTGAAGAGCATAAGAATAAGACTAGGTCCTGTTGCCAGAAATTATGTTGTACTATGCGTGTGTGTGAATGTGCTTGTTTGTGTTTAGGAGAGAGATGGGCAGAACAGAGGTTAAGGCTTAGAATAAGCTCCGAGTAACGATAAATCAGGACAAAGGATGAACAGATCCAATTTCTTCCACGCCGGTCTTGTTCCTGCGCACTGTTGCCTTTTCTTCTAATTTAATGTGAAGCATTTCCAAAATGAATTTGAGGACTGGCACACGAGCAGTTATATGCCCAGCTTTAATTTCCTTCTGTTTGCTTTTACATTTTCTTTCTCGTTTCTTATCCCTTATCAATGTGCAGAAGCAGAGCAAACAAAAGGAATCTTGATGAGCTTGGGTGCTTGCTTGCTTGTCTCACTGAGTGCAGGCATCAGAGTTAGATTTTTCAAATGTAAGGTCTGATGGTACAATGCAGTTTGGGACTTGCTCTGGCTTACTCTGGGTCAAGTGAAATATTCCATTTTCATCAGTAAGAAGCATTGCAGAGATACTGCTGCCAGAAGCTAGACTAAGTGATCTGTCCTCGGCTGCTGCATCAGGGCACACCAGTGAGACACACAATGACCTAGTGGTGTTCCCCTCTTTTTTCTTTGTGCTTTTTGTTTCAGAAGAAGAGAAGGTAAGCAAACGCACAGCCCTCAACAGTTGTACAGAACAGGGGGTTTGCCTAGGGCCCTTCCTGCCTAAAAGCATGGCCGATTATAGCAAAGCAAGTAGTGCCATCTATGCAGGACATTGGGATAGAAGCCCAGGGATACTCTCAGAGTAAATTGGGGGGGGGGACCTAAATGCAGCAAGGCTGGCTTGAGACATTTTGAAGCAAAGCATTACAGATCTGCATCTGAAGAAGGAATGGGTAGGTATGAAATCATTAGCTAACCCCATCGCTCACCACAACATCTTGTTCTGTACAGTCGGTTGAGTACAGCATCCTTGTCTGCTTTGCATTGGTTGCACTAGCGCAGGAATGAGCAACGTGGGGACCCTCTAGATGTCGTCATCGGACAACTCCCATCAGTTGCAGTCAACATAGCTGGTTGTGAGAGATCTCAGGAGTTGCAGTCCAACAACATCCAGAAGACCACAAGCTGCCCATTCTTAACAGTTTGAGGTCTCAAAGATGGTTGCCCACATTTTCAACACAGGTTCCACGTCTGTTGGCTTTTGTTGTATTTCACGTTCACAGCAAGGCTAGGGGCCGTTCCCGGTGAAACCAAATCCCAAAGAACACTTATCTATTTGCAAGTCTTTCTTCCCATAACAGTTCAATAAATATGCAAACAAGGTGGCTTTACTGACTTCAACTACACGTCTCCTCTGCTTACTAATTGTAACATCTGTCTTTACCTGGGAAGGGTACCTGGAGACTTGAAAACCTCCAGTTACTTTGTTCTTTTATCGTTGACTCCATTAAGGTGCGATCACAACATGGATTTTGCAATGTATTCATAAACATAATTATTAAAGTGGATCCCAAGTTACAAACTGTTGTTTGAGGTGGGGCCTGTCTCTAGAAGATGGGTGAAGCTACCTTATCCAAGCAAGTTACCAAAAACTGGGGACTTTTCTCTAGTTGCAGGAGGGGCATCTGATGGTTCGACACTTTCAGTACCTGCGATGGTCAGCATACAGAGACATCCCAGATTCTAAGAAGTCTTTCCTGCATTTATTAGCCCAAGTAGAGAAGTGGCAGGTGGAGAGTGGTGACGGAAGGACAATCGTGCATTGTTTGTAAGTATCACCGGGCCTGGTGGGGGAAAAGGACAGTAATTAGCATTTTTCAAATGGAGTTCGTGTCACCAGCCATGCCCAACAATAATGTACACTCTTGAGAAACTTAATTTAAACGGAAGTCTTTGAAATATAAAGAGTCTTTATATTGTTAGAAATAACAGTGTGAAAAAAATCTCCCAGTCTTGATTGCATGCTATGGTACACCTACAGTCTGATTCTATCATTAATTCGCATTAATTTTAAGACTCAGCATTTTGCCTTGCTCTCGCAATGGAATTTTATTTGTATTTGTTCTACTTCTCTTTTTTTTAAGCATTTTTTTACATTTAATGTATGTACAACATAAAATGATTTTGTCCATATTCGCGCATGGGATAAAGCTGTTTATAGCTGTTCAAATTTTGAAACGTGCATCGTTCTGTGTGTATTTTATTTTTCTGAAACACATCAAAAACATTTCAGACATCTAGACATTGGAGGCAATCTTTGGTTTTTCTTTCGACAAGTCTTAGGTGTTTCAAAACTGGTATTACCATCAAGAACTCAAATTCTTTTCCAAGCATAGCAAGAAAAATAACTGAGTACCATCATGGAGCAGTTGCAGTTTTCTACAGTTTATTTACAGAATATGGTGAGCTGCCCTTCTGATGCCACACTCTGAATTGTCCTCTCAAAACAAGTTGTCAAATGGGTGGGATCTTTGGAGAGCCATGGCAGTCCCAAAAACTTTCTGACCTGCCTTTTGGGGAAGCCTGCTAGATCCAATGCCTTTTGCCACAGGGACACAACAAGCCTCTATGACCATTTCCCCCCAGTGCACCAGACACAATCACAATAGCTACCTTGTATACAAAGCTTCCCTCCATGGACGTCCTGGGAGGTAATGGCTGGTGGGTCTAATGCCCTCTTCCTTTAGAGGTTGGGGGCACCTTGCCCTTCCACTGGCACTTCCAGACACAAAATAGCATGCCTGGGAGCAGACAGTTCCAAAATGACAGGAGCACCCAGCCATTTTTTTAACAAATAAACCGATCACAAACTTGTCTGTCTTTATTTGCCTAAAGATAATTTGGCAGCATTTTTTGCAGACGTTCTCCAGAGTGCTAGGTTGTAAGAAAGGCAGGAAAGTTGCAATTTCATAAGCAGGAGTCTTACATGCATCTGGCTAATCTGATAATAGCAGGTGTAAAGGATTTATTAGCTCTGATGGGAATCCATGCTCTGAAGAATTTTACAGTGCAACACTGGCAGCATGCCTGTTTTTGTACATTGTGGGAGGAGGGGAGAGACTGATTTTAATTGGCTCTCATCAGTTTACCAAAATGAAACAGGTGCTGAAGGAATAGTTGCTCAAGTTTACTTAAGGAAATTGAAGGAGCGACAATCCCATTCATAACCATTTAGGTGGGTGTAGTAGCTGTGCTTAATACACAGTGTACCATTTCTTTGAAGCAATGCTTTTTGAACAGTCACTTGATTGAGTTGAGAAAAAGGGGATAATGACATTATTAGAATAGCTGCACTATAGAGTGCAATAGAAAAGCAGTAGGGATGCTAACAAATTCCTAGGATAGGAAACAAATTTGGGGAGTTCAGTTTTCCTCCTAAGAAGAAGAAAAAAGTTACAAAACCCTTGGCCATCTTTCTTATGGGTGGTCAGATTATTCTTCTTGAGTAGGGACTGTTGGCTTGATGAAGCATAAGCTTTGTATTCATGAGCTCCTGACATCTCTAGATAGGGCTAAGAATGAATACTGCTTGAAACCAAGGAAAGGCCTCTTGTGTTTAAATGAAAGTGGGGGAGTCTGAAAAAAGCTCTCTTTTTGATTTTTGCTTCCTTTCATTGATTACTGAAAGAGTCTCTTAAGCAAACAACTCATATTAATGAAAGATGGATACGTGAAAGTTTTTAGGGTCTTTGTGTATCCCTCTTCTGTGCAGAATTTTCTTCACCCTTTATCTGTCAAATGTCCCGATAAATTTTTCATCCAATAGTGATGCAAGAGCTGCTGTCACCAGCGGGTCAGAATTTCTTGGGAAGTGGAATTTCGAATCTGTAAAAAGGCTTGGATTGGTTGAAGTCAGTGAGGAGTGCTCTTTCTTTACTTAAGTCTCTCCTTCATTAACAAGGGGACTGAAAATAAAACAGCCAACATTCTAATGCCATTGTACAAAATGATGGTAAGGCTGCGCCTGGAGTATTGCATACAGTTCTGGTCACCGCACCTCAAAAAAGAAATCGTGGAACTGGGAAAGCTGCAGAAGAGAGCGACTAAAATGATGACTGGGCTGGAGCATCTCCCTCATGAGGAAAGGCTAGAGTATTTGGGGCTCTTTAGTCTAGAGAAAAGGTGCCCGAGGAAGGACATGACTGAGCTGTATAAAATTATGTAGGGGATGGATAAAGTTGATAGAGGGAAGCTCTTTTCCCTCTCACGCAATACCAGAACTAGGGGACATCCACTCAAACTGAGTGTTAGGAGAGTGAGAACAGACCAAAGAAAATATTTCTTTAACCAGCATGTCGTTAATCTGTGGAACTCCTTGCCACATGATGTGGTGATGGCATCTGGCCTAGATGCCTTGAAAAGGGGATTGGACAGATTCCTGGAGAAAAGTCCATCGCAGGTTACAAGCCATGATGGGGATGTATCATCTCCAGGCTTAAAAGGAAGGTACTTCAAAGTGCCAGATGCAGGGGAGGGGCATCAGGAGATAGGTGTCTAGTTGTCTCGTCAGCTCCCAGAGGCCTCTGTGAGATACAGAAAGCTGCTCTAGATGGGCCCTTGGCCTGATCCAACAGGACTCATCTTATGTGAATGTGCAAGTTTCTGGTATCCTCTGTCTTCGATTGCTGCCTGTCGGCTTGCTATGCTTCCATCTTGAATCCTTTCAGTGTTTTTGCCTTTTTTTTCTTTGATTTTGTGGGGGATTCCCTCCCCCAATTTCTTTGGATAATTTTTGCTGCTCTTGCCAGGTAGTTTTCCTTTGTCAGCGTGCCTCCTTTGGATTATTTTTTGGACACCTGCTTAGTTGGGGGAGGGGGACCTATCTTGTCCTCTTTGGTCCTTCTCTTTATTGGTTATATTTGCTGCCTGCCTGACCTGCTTGCTTCTCTTGGTGGGCTCAGTGAGGAAAAGAGAAAGCATCAAGTGGATTCGGAGAAATCTCTAGGAGTTTTGATGAGGCTCTGTTTGTTCACTGGCTTTCCTCCCTCCCTCCCTCCTTCCCTCCCTTCCTTTCAAGATCTGTACAGTTTTTCTTTAAAAACTGCAGTTTCCCTCCCTGTGGACATGTGGGTGTTTTCCCTGTTTAATTGATTTATTAAAATTGTTCATTTGTTAATTTACTGTGTATTTATTCTGTTAAAAGTGAGTATTTGGGCGGCTTTGAGGATTGTTTTGTTTGCTTCTGTAAGAATGTGTGGGCAAGGGGGTGGACTTTCTGACTGTGCCAGTGTGCCACTAAGCTGTGTGGGTGATGATTGTTGTGGTCAGTTGGGCACCGTTTGGAGCATTTCTCTCCCTTGGTGTTGCTGTTGCTGTGTGGTCAGTGAAGTGAACAGGAATGAAGGGAGTTCTGTTAGGCATCCTTCAGTCTCAAGAGACTATGGTAACGTGCTCTGTATGAGTGTCCTCTCCAGAGCACGAAGCCTGGGTAAAATAATATGGAGGATAGGCTGTTACCCAAGCAGCAAATCCCCCCTCTCCACATCACTGAAATAGTGCAATGGAAAGGCAAGAGCCAATACAACTGGTTCCAGCGATGTTGCAGGAGTTGCCAGAATGACATAAACTGCCTCCGGGACTCCAGCTCCGGATTTTGCCTCGAGGTTTACTCCTGAAGCCTTTTCCATCAGTGGATATAGCCACAAGGCAGTGGAGGTTTGGGACTGGAGTTTTCCTTCTCCTAGATGGGCTGGCTTCCAAGCCTGACGAGTCCCACCTACCCGACAACTCTCCATGATGATATGGAAAATGATAGTCACTATACTATCCATTTGAACGATCAAATGTTGCCAATGGACCATTTGGTGCTTATTTAACCTAAGTCAACTTTTCCACGAAAACAGGAGGTCAAAGCCTAGAGTTCCTGGATATGCTCTTTAAATTGGGTTTCTCATCCACGGTAGAGAGCCACAAGTTTACCCACCTGGTTATAAACAAATTGTAAGCCATCCCTAACCAACAATGAATTGATTTTGTAAGAGTGCCAAATAGTGTTCCAGTTTTCACTAGGCATCTCCCAAACTGAGGAAAAAGCTTGCCCCAGTGCTAGGACTAACACAGTGTTTGCATGCCATTTTGTCTAAGAGGTAAACGTGGTATTACTGGAACCCTGTGTCATAACAATTACCCCCATTAGGAAAGTGCTCATCATTACAATGATAGAAGTGGTTCTTCCCCTCTCTCCTCTGGTTTTTTACCGTCTTTAAACTCCCCTGTTTATTTGCATAGAAGTGAAACATTCATCCCAACCCTGCTGAGCAATTTAACCTCTTAGCAAGGATTATTTCTCAATCATCACCACCAATCTGCATTTAATTATATCAGAAAGATAGGCAGCCATGGATGCAGAGTCTTGAAAGCAGGTACAGTACTCTGAAACCCTGAAACATTCTTTGCAATGGGGAAGAAGATCTCATTTTGGACATCAGCCCGTTCCTGCAAAATAAATAAATAAAAATAAAATTAAATAAACACAGCTACACAATCTAGTCAGTCCCTTGGGTAAACCGTAAAGCCCTTCAGACAAAATTTGTATTAAATAATTTGTTATTATAATCATTAATGATCGTAGAGAAGCAACAGCAAGAGAAAGGATTAGGTAACCAGAGATTTACAGGCTGTTCTGAAAGTAAGGAATACTTTTGATATTATTTATTTATTTAACATATATTTTAACCCCTACTTTCTTTTGCCTTAAAAAGGACCCGAGGTGGCTTACATTATCAAAAGACAATATTTAAAAACTAAAAACAGTATGTATACAAATATTAAGAAAAAAATCAAACAAATACTGCTGTAAAAATGGAAATCCCAGTGGTGCTACTTGCATGTTTTTTAGTTTTACTTTGTTGTGTCGCTGTAGTTTTTCCATGTCTTGTAAGCATAACCCATAGAGATGTGCAGGCTGTATCTTCACATTTAAGGAATGTGATGCCACAGTAAGTACCACTTCTCCGTTGCAAGTAATGCTAGAATTAGGAATCTGATGATATACTTAGAATTTTGTGTTAGAGAGGTTTAGTACTGGACTTCCCTGGCTGCAGTAAAGGTTTCTATGTCATGAAGCTGTACATCCTAGGACTGTGAGAATGAATACTTATATAACAGTGCCACCGTGTTAGAACTGTGTAGTGTGAACACATTCAGAAACTCATTGCTCTTACATTGTTTTCAAAAACAACAACCGTCAAGGCTGGACAAGGGTTGAGCATTTGTCCCTTGTGATGTGAACCCATCAAAAGCTGGATTTCACTTCTCTGCAGCTAGCCTGAGAATTGCCCTCACAAAAGCTTATTGGTCCCTGATTTTGCTCAAAGCTGCTGGGTAAAATGGGAGAGGATTGCCCTGTTTATCTCAGTTGCACTGGTTTTGTATACTGACTTGACATGATGCGTTTTCCTTCTGCTGCAGGAATGGGGGTGGCCGGAGTGGCACTTTCTGTGCCTGCACCATGATCTTGGAGATGATCAAGTGTCACAAGCTGGTGGATGTTTTCTTTGCTGCCAAAACCCTCCGTAACTACAAGCCAAATATGGTTGAGACTTTTGTAAGTGCCATATTTTCTTTACCTGCACCTTCAGACCTTGTGGAAGCTTTGGGATATTTACTGGAACTCTCTGTGAACATCCCTCGTGCAAATTTCAAAGTCTAATCTTTGCACTTCTGGATGAAAGCAGGATCAGTACTGCCTGATCCTACTTTCATCCATCACACAGTCGGGCTTCTGTTATAATAGCATAAAGCCAAAGTAGAGTGAATGCAAGAAACATGTGTTCTCCTTTGTCTGTGTTGCTCCTAAGTAAGAAACACAGCACTCAGCAGCAAAGGAGAGTATGACTGCTTGCACAGCGAACAGGTTGCTTTGCATATACCATTTCAGAGGGCTGATGTGACAATGCAGGACCTTGCCGTTGCCCCCTAGAAGGATCCATGCACATGGAGAGTTCTAATGAGCAATATGACTGGTAGAGATGGGACTTTTGTATTTAAAGGATTTCTACTCCCATAGGTGATAATCCTCAGGCCAGATTATGTCTTCAAACTGGTAGGAGGTAGAGCAGCCCTCTCATCTCTTTGCCATTCCTTTGCCACCACCTTCTAAAAAATTCATCCTGCTGCAATGTATAAGGTACCATATTTTTCAGTGTATAAGATGCCCCTATGTATAAGACGTCCCCACTTTTCTAACCCAAAATTAAGAAATCTAAGTGGGGCTTAGCAAGTGGAGGGGAAAGCAGGGATCAAAGCCCTGCCGGATCACTTTGATCCCTGCTTTCCTCTCCGCTTATTTTTGTTCTCTCCTCAGCTTACTTCCGTGTATAAGACGACCCTCAATTTTTAGTCTAAAGATTTTAGACAAAGGTATAAATCTTATACACGAAAAAATACGGTATATATGAGGATTCCCTTTGACTCGCAAAGGGGAATGAGAGGGTAAATTCTGATGGATGCCGCCTCCATGTGCTCTATATGGAAGCAGGCTTGGTTGGAACTCAGCCTTCCATGCGCTTCTTCTTGCCTGATGGGGAAATGGTACTGGAAATGGCAGAGAGACAAGAGGGCTGTTCTGCCTCCTGCTCACTCTTCTAATTTGGCCTGGGGGTTTCTCGATGACTTACGGGAGTGGAAGTCCTTCAAATAAGGCTCCATCCCTAATTACTGATAACAACAATAGTTTAGTGTCCTGTTCCTGGATGGGTGAGGCCCCAGTAGTAGGGAACTGCCCCTCCCCAAATAGTTGAGCTGGGCAAGGAGGTTCTTGAGAAAAGAAGCAAAGATCTGGAAACAATTACAGTTTTATCAGAATAAACCCACTAAGAAGGATCCCAGAGATAGTGTCCAATAACAAGCCAGGGTGTTTGTGGTCCATGGACCAAGGTAGGGTGCCTTACTCTAAAATTTCACAGAGGGGGGAGTACACTCCCTGCTCTGATTATGAGTTGTCTCTAATTCTCTAAGGGTCTGCCCCTTTCAGCTGTAAAAAGCAAATAGACAAGATTGCAAAATCAAGCAAGGGATTCACAGCAGGCAGGATCTGAAGTTCAGGAAAGATTGCTTCCAGAGCTTGCTGCGGCTGCAGTTTGTCTTGCTTAGCTTCCAAGCCCAACCTAGAACTGAGCTTCAGGAACGTGGGCGGCTCATCTCCATAGGAGCAAGAGCTTTCCTTCAATTAGACCCACTTCTCCTAAGTCAGCCTCACAAGGACTCTCATGAAGAATCTTCCTTTGTAGCGGAGTATTCACCTGCAGACTCTAAAGCTAAACTAGGCTTTCAGTCAGTGCTATTCTTGTGGAGTGTGTAGGAGGTCCATATTCCTTTTCTGACTGTGGAGCAGAGTTGGGTTTTCAGTCTTTGCTACGCACATGAACTCAGGCACTGCAGGACTGGTCATCTTCTCCCCACCTTTAGCTTTCAAGGTTCCAACTCATCCTCACTGGATGGGTCCGTGAAATGGCTACGGTTGCACCACCAAGGCGGTCCTGAAGTCTCAAAAACCCATAGAGCGAAGCCCTGTTTGCTGCCTGGAAACAGGGCAGTAAAATCTGGGACAGCGTTCTAGAACCAACTCTTAAAAGAAATGTTTCTCTTGCCCTCTTGCTTGCTATAGAGGGGGAAGGGAATATGCCAGCAAGAAAACTGAGGAGAGAGGAGATATTTATCTTGGAGAAAGCGGGCGGATATGACTGCATGGGGAAACACAACTTGAATAGTTGGGTGAATTTAAGGGAAAGCAATAGAAATGAAGCAGAGAGATAGAATTGGACAACCTATTGGGCTAGATTTCAAGGTATTAGCAAATGCAAACTAGATTTTTCTATGCTCCCCAGAGAACCTACAAATCTGTTTTGCTAGCCTTAATTTAATGAACCACCACTGGAGTAAATGAGATTGTGCCTATTTATTATTAGTAGAGCTTCACTGAGCTGCACCCGTAGAGGATCTGGGCCCTGTATGCTGTTTTGTTTTGTTTTATTTGCTATAGCTTTTTTGTTTCTTGATTTTCTGTATTGCTTCAAAGGCAAAGAATTCTCTTTTTTCTTAATCTAAAAGCATGATCATCATCCTCTCCAAACTGCAGAGCTGGAAGGGACTCTTTAGATCATCGAGTCCACCCCTTGTCAAGGGGGTTCAGCGGGGAATCAAACCCCCAGCCTCTGGCTGTGCAGCCAGACATCTAAACCACTGGACTGTCTAGCAGTCTGATTACAGATTTTAATCCTTTTCACAGTGGACTTTTAAAAATATCTTTCCTGCTGGTGTATGCACATGCCTTGAAGGTCTTGAGCCTTGCCTCTCAGACCCACAACAAAGTCATTTGTCTTTTATCTCCTTCCAAGGAACTAGACACAGAGAAATGTTCTTTTCTGCCTGCTTCCAGGGAACTGTACACAGAGATACAATTCTTCTGGAGAAACTTGTATGTATCACACTATACAGGCACATCTAGCAGAAACATGAGAGAATTTCATTACAAATCATTTTCATAAGAGTTACCCCCAAATTCTCAAGTTTCTTCATCTTCAGAATTGATAGAATTTGAGTTTTAAAACTGCATGCGAGATATATTAAAATGGACAGATATATCTATCCAGGTACAGGACTTTGGGTACTGAACACTTAAACGTCTGGATCTGGACCTGTTTCTTTTAACCATGCTAGTATTGAATTAGGGTTGACATCCATTTTTTTTTCTGAGATGCTTCTCATTTTTAACACATACTGTACAGGGCAGACAGATGCAACATGTATTTCTCGATTTTGGGAACAGTTGCAGTTATTTTGCCAGTGCAGATGGGTTAGAATTTCATTTCAGATAATTTTGCATGATTTTTTTTAAAGAGACAAAGAGAACCCGAGGTTGAAAAAAAATTAACTGGAGGAAGAATGAACCTCACAGATTTTCTAATCCCTGGTTCCTGGACAATGTTACAGAAAGTATATTGCGACTGCTGTTGCATTTTGCTGAATAGAAGAAGGATATTTCTGCTCCAAACTGGGCTCATGCATAGGAACACAGCTATCATTGCACACAATGACGTTAAACCTGTTCCCTCACTGAGTTCTGGCTGACTGCATCTGTAGGGGTCCGTCCGCATGATAGAACGTTCTCCATGCAAAGTACAAATATCTCCAAGTAAAATATTTGCATGTAGAAATCTAACACAAGAGAGGAAAGCCTGAGTTAAAACTTGTCTCCCTACAAGTAGTTCTTAAGGTGGTTTGATTTTTAAGGTTAATACTCCATTACCTACCATGTAAAGAGTTGCAACAGTCTAAACACTGAAGGTCTACATTGGTCAGCTTAGGCTTTCAGATCTATGGCCCTCCAGATGTCATTGAACTGCAGTTGCTATGGTGTTTGGTGAGGGCTGATAGGAGGTGAAGCCCAACAGTATCTGGAAGACCACAAGTTTTCCACTCTTGTTGTAGGCCTTCTGATGCTCTAGTTCAATGTTTCCCAAACTTGGGTCCCCATGTGTTCTTGGACTACAGGTCCCATAAATCCTGGACAGAACAGCTAACGGTGAAGGCCCCTAGGAGTTTTAGTCCAAGAACATCTGGAGACCCAAGCTTGGGAAACATTGCCCTAGCATGTACGTCATTTCTCTCTGAACTTTTCTGCAAGATGTACCTATGTAATTTGTACGTCGTTTGGAATTGTGTGTCATTTGGTCATTCTTACAAAAACTGGATATGAATTTGATCTTACTGAGTTGCCTGTTTTGGGGGAAGAGGGAATCAAGCCTCTGGTATCCCTCAGGACCAAGGGTTGTGTAGGACCAGTCACACTTAATTGCAATTAATTAAGTAATTAATTTTCCTCTCTGAATAATGGCCTAGATCCTGCTGCATAGCTAGGCCAGAACAGTGTGAATGACATCACTGGTGGCAGCAGATTGCTGCTAGTTAGCAGTTGATTGTAAATTGCACACGGCTTGCACACAATTAGACGAAATCACATGCAACCTAAAAATGAAGTAGTGACCCATTAATTATCAGCAATCTGCTGCTGGTGGCAGCATCATTTCAGTGCTGGCAAGTTAATATGTAACTAGTTTGCATTACAGCGGCAGATACCTTCAACCCAGCTGCAACGTAACTACGACTTTTTAGTCACTGTTAAAGTTGCAGGGATTTTGACCTCCTGAAATGATGGAGGAGAAATATTAAATGGTTCAGCTGCTGTCCTATGCCTTGTGCTTTGGACAGATACTGAGGTAACCTCAAGGTGGATAAGACTTTTGTACAATGGAACATGTAGAATTTAGTCTTTTTCTTTAAAAGAACTGCAAGAAATATTTAGAAAAATGGCAGAATAATATTTTCTTTTCAAAAACGGCGACCATAGCTACTAACTACTGTAACTATTTGGCCGAGAGCTATACCAATTTTTCCAGTTTCTTCCAATGACCACTGTGACACACTTCTGCTGCACATTTGGATAATTATTTTCAAGCTGAAGACTAATCCCAGCTCATTTCCCTTCCCCTCCAAATATCTAGCATGGCCCTTCTCCCTTTCTTTGATCCTTCTTTTTCTCCCCAGGGACCACTTCACACGGTCCATGAGTATGACAGAAGTACATGATAGAAACGCATGATAGTCTTATCCTATCCCAGTAGGAGGCTCCTATAATACAAGAGAATTACCCATCAGAGCAAGACTGGGATACAGATAAAAGAAGAACATTCTGCTGTGTAGAACACCTCTTAAAAGGAGCCCTCACTGTTTGACTTCAGAGAACAGCCCCTTCTAAATATGGCTTTTGGCTCCTCTTTCATCTCATTCCCACTTGCACTCTGAGGGTACCTAAACACTCCACATCCCTCCCATGTTTGAGTTCCCTCCCTACTCTCCAAATAACCACCACAACAGAGCATTTTTTCACACTGGGCTTCATTGTAGTTTCTTTCTTTCTTTGTATTAGTGCTGTTTCTTTCCCTTTTGAAACATGCAAACACTGTTTCCCTAGGTGTACTCAAATATGTGTGGAATATGTGATGCATATTTACTTGGGAGTAACTCTCCCTGGGTTCAGTAGAGTGTATGCTACATTTTTTTGTGGGATTGCAAATCATGATGCCCTCACACCATACAGGCATAAACACGTTTGGGTCCTCCTTCCACCATGAGTAGAAAAGATGGTGAAAAGACAGCATTTATTTGTTGGTTATATTTGTTTTCTACCTTTCCTCCACTGAAGTTAGAACAGCATGCTAGTTTCTTTCTCCTCTTAATTTTATCCTCACCACAACCCTGTGCAGTTGGCTAGATTAATTATGGTTTGAAAGCCAAATGTGCAACCTAGTCTCCTCAAACCTACTCCGATCATGACACCATCACGGCTTGTGAGATTTTGTGTTCTCACATCATGAATTCATACCTTTCTGCCTCTCACCCAGTAGAGGCACCAAACCTTCAGCCATTTTTATATCCGTTGCTATGGAACACAAGGCACAGTTGCATTCATATCCTTCTGGCAAGCTTTTGATAGGTAACTGGGTTGCTACAGGGCTCCTCTTTTGCTTTACAGCTACAGCTATCAAAGGCCCAGGGTGTAACGGGAACAACTGTTTCCCCATTGTCACCATGAACTTACCTTTCTCAATTAATGAGAGCCATTCTGATCAAAGTTAACTCTTGCTTGATAGGAACTTATTACATTCATCACTTGGTGGATTCATCACGCTGAGGGGAAATCTGTCTTATCTGTGAGACATCTTGTCTTTCAGGGAATGGATCATCCCATAAAAAGGCTGAAATGTATGTGTGTATGTAAGACTCTGTGTTTTCCTAGAAAGCTGGTGGATCGTAGTCGCAAATCCCTTCCTATCAGACTACAGCAGGTCTCATAAAACCATAAGAAGAGCTTGCTGGACCAAACCAAAGGCCTTCCTATGTAGTGTGCTGCTTCTCAGAAGGGTCAACCGCATGCTTGTGGGAAGCCTGGAAGCAGCACTGGGGAACTGCTGTTCTGACTGTAGTTCCCCAGCAGCTCATATTCAGAGGCATCCTGGACAGTTGCGCACAGCTCACTCCTATACAGAAGTGTGCCACATAACTACATCAGTGCAATATGGCAAGGGTGTAATCAGGTGTTAATGGTATAATCATCCTTTTACCTATCAAAAGCAAAAGCAAAGCGTGCTGCTGATATACCGCCCCATAGCACTTCAAGCACTCTCTGGGCGGTTTACAGGTTAATTATGCAGGCTACACATTGCCCCCCCTCCCCCCAGCAAGCTGGCTACTCATTTTACCAACCTCGGAAGGATAGAAGGCTGAGTCAACCTTTGAGCCGGCTACTGGGATTGAACCCCAGGTCGTGAGCACAGTTTGGGCTGCGGTACAGCGATTTAACCACTGCGCCATGAGGCTCTTTACCAAGCTGTCCTGTGATGGAACCCAGCCAGTAGTGAGAGTTAGCAATAGCACAGATATTGCACAGGAAATAGCCACGGTTATTGGCTTCCTCCTTGCTCTGGAACTCATGCCAGCTTTTGTTTGTGACGAAGATGTTGTTTTAGAATTAGTGCCCCAAGCATCCTCAGTAGAGTTTTTGTGCCTTTACAATCCATTGTTTGTATACATCAGCACCTCCTGCACGTGCCAGAAAGATACGAAAGGCAGGGGATAGTGACAGGGGGAAATGTGTTCAGTTCCCATTATAATGCAAAGTTATCTAATATGGCATGTTTGACACAAGGCACAAACCAAAACTTTATTTATTATTTTTAAATCCACTTTGAATTGAGAGCCCTGGTTATTTATTTATTTTTTAAAAAAAACCATTAAACTATGTGTATTAGTGAAAACAGCACTCAAAAATGAATTCTACTGAGAAACTGGTTTGCAAAAAAGTGCGTACGAGGCAAAATTGCATGTAGGGGAAATATGGATAAAAATGAATACAGATGTTCATGCAGACTTTTGAAAAATATGTTAAAGACAAATAAAATGTAAGAATTGTGTGGGGGGGGAGAAAACCTAAAAAGTAATCAGAATAGGGAAATTTGTCAGTTGCTAGAGAGGTTCAGGTCAAGCCTGTCATAAATTTAAAGCCTTCATGAAGGAGGTGCATAGCTTGGATGGCTTTTTTCTTACCAGGTTTGCTCTTGGATATCCCAAAAGCATGAGAAAGGTCCCTATGTGTATATGGTTGCATGCACATAGAGTTCCATGCAAGGGGTTGATTCTGGCCTGATAAAGAACTTAACAGGAATACAAAGAAGTTAGGACCCCTTGTTGGTGCTTGCCAAATATTTAGCCATTCCATCAGGAGATGTATGGCAAGACCACAGTGCTTTCTGCCTTATCTTCTGCTGCTGCTATGTCTTTGGGGAGCACAATGGACTCACTCTTACCCTTTTCTCTCTCTCTTTTTTTCTCCTCCCTCTTAAAGGAACAATACCACTTCTGCTATGACATAGCCCTGGAATACCTGGAATCCTTGGAGACCAGATAGCACCCTGCCTGGAAGCACCCAGGCAAAGTGTTTATTTTGGAGTTTGGGCCAAATGTGCGGAAAAAGCACAGAGACTTTTAAATACGAGCAAGAAAAGGGAGGAGGAGAACCAAACAAAGAAAAGGAAAAATGGAAAGAAAAAGAACGATGACTCAAAGGAAAGATGTGGCGTTGTGTTGTCCATCCCTTCTCTTCATTTTTCTGCCTAACCTCCCACTCCTGCCCCTCTAGAGGCAACCAGTGCAGAACCTACACCAACTCATCCCATGTACACAGTGATGTGTATGTGCCAGCCAAGAGTTTGGTACCTGCGTGTTGTTTGTATATGTATGGACATTGGTGCCCAGAGATGGCTAGATCTCCTTGTGATTATACCAGTTGCAGCCTGAAGTGGACCAAAATGGCTGACAGCAGGAGGAAAAAGCAAAGTTCAGCATCTTTCAACAAGAGATGCAAGGAAGCTGTGTAACCTCCTGACCATCTACCACTGAAGAAGATTTTTGGAGCAGATGATGCAAGATCACCATTATTTGGGAAGCTATGTGCCATGTTGGACTGGGAGTACTAATGGGGCCTGTACAGTTCTCTTTCTGTGTTTATAACTATACATTTCCTGTTTCCAGACTAATGTCTGCCTCCAAAGAGAGTTTTTGAATCTCTACCTGTCCAACTTTTGGTAGGAGAGCTGCAAGTAGAAATAAGCAGCTAAAGAGTCAATCCTCTTGGTCACTTAATAAGGGGAAAGCACATAGGCTGTTTGCTCAAAAGTTAAGGCACTCCACATAGGATTTTTTTTAGCACACACCATTTCTGCCTGGATACTCCAAACTTCCAGCATTGCAAGGGGCTTCCTTTACAGGTGGCAATTGTCCTCCTCCCTTTCAGTGCATTTCAAGAGGGCTACCCAAACATGGAAGCATTCATATGATCACACTATTTTTTCCAAATTGTAGCTATTAGAGTTCAAAGAGAGACATGCACGTTAGTTTGGATTCCATCTGCAAGCAGTCAAACATAATTTAACTCCCTTCCAAATGGATCCATTGATATTTATAAGAATCTGTAGGCAAGTGGTTTTGAGTGCAGATTAAGAGGTTAGAGTAGATCCAGATGCAGTCTTTTGAAAGGTCAAATGTAAGCCTTGGGGTGCTTGCTTGGCTGTGTCTTTAGGACTGAAAGAGGTGACCTATAGTTGATTTAAGCACTTATGACTAGCATGGCTGGAGGTCATATTGACTTGGATACGTAAACTCATTTTGCTTATGTTCAGGAAGGGATAGTTCCATATTTCCATTGTGCAATCATTGCAGCTCATTGGCTGTCTGCGATGAGCCAGAACTTGAAAAGCATCATTTATTATGGTTACTAGCATAAATATAACAGAGTTGAAGCACCATGCTGACCAAAAATAGCTTATTCAGTTTGTGTCTTCAGCTCCAGTGTTGGATCAGGCTGGAGGCAAGGATTCGGCATCCTTGGGGCTGCCAGACACACAATCCTTCATTTCCTTTCCTCTTTCAGTCAGGTTAATTGGTCTTTTCATTTGTATCCCACTCATAATATTAAATACAACAGAGCTCATCATAGAGGAGTATTCAAGCCTGCATAGCACTCAAGTGTGTTTTGCATGGTAATCGCTGTACCACATTCTCTTGCTTGAAGAACCAAGGACTTTCTGCATAGCCCTGCTGAGTAACGTCGACCAAGATTGTCTGACTGGTGCCTCTTTGCCTGCCTGCCTCCATAATAACCCAAAGTCTATAATTTTAGAACTGCCCATTGAAGACAAGTGGGTGTGTAAACCTCTTACATGTGATCACATCCTCATGTAACACCACTGAATGGCAATGGTGCTGGTATGCACTTGTGTGCATGGCCGGAAGCATCATGTTGCTGAAAAAAATAAAGGAATATTTGCAAAGGCATTATTAGACCCATAATGGAAGGACTTGAATCACTGCCTTACTTTTCCCCCCAAAGAGGAAGGAAATGCGTCATGCCCAAGTTACTGGTTGAACTAGGAAAAATAAGGGAAACTTTTGGGTATAATATAGATATGCATTTGCCCCAAACCAAAAGCAAAGGGGAATGAATGGGCATGAATAGGAAACATGTCTAGCACTTCCATTTAGGGGATGTCTTACCTTCCTGGAAGGCAACCAGAGTTTTCATTGCCAGCCACTCTTGGCAACTGCCATTTGGTGTTACTCCCAGAATGCTCAGGATTTTGTATTTTTTCAGAGCATACTCAAGATGGGTTGGAGTGCAATTGTGGCCAACTGTTGTTCTGTGTAGATGGCTGCTTTTCATCCATAATGTCTTGGAATGCAAAGTATAGGCCATTATGGGAAATGAAGAATGGCAGCCATTAAGAGGTGTTTGCTCAACTGTTGACGCCCACCATGTGAGCCCAACTAGGAGTTTGAGAGGAATGAAATACTAAGGTATGAAGCAAGAAGCAGGAAAGATAAACGGGATACCAACATTGTGTGTGGTGTTAGTGGGGTATCCTAGCCCATTCTTTGTGGGCATTGCTGTCTGACAGTGTTATAAGCACTTAGGATCTTTTATATGCCATTGCTGGCTTTTGTATCCAGCCCACCAATGGTGCCTCTGGAAAGATTTAGGACATCACTCTCCTGTAGTGCTCAAAGCAAATCGATAGGCCGCTGTGTGGAAACAAGAATCAAATTAGTTCAGCCTAGCTAAGAAGCGGTGAGCAAGATCCCAGGATATCAGCCTGCAGTTATGCAGGATACAAGCACCAGAGCAAGAAAGAGAAATATATGATGGTAGGATTTTTGGAATTGAAAAAGCATATAGGCTGAAACTTAAGGGCTGCTCCATGTATTTCTTTCTTTTTTTCTTTTCTTAATGGAAAGATTATTTCTGTTAATGTTAACTTGTGAACTGCAACAGATGAGCACCATGGATTTATTTTAAAACCTTTTTTTTACAGGAAATGTATTGAAAAGGACATGCCTGTGGAACAATTTCACAGGAGTGCTGGAGCTGGTACATGGGCAAAGAATTCAGTTTACAGTGGTGCCTCGCGCAACGATTGCCTCGCGCAACGATTAATCTGCAAGATGATGGGTTTTTGCAATCGCTGTTGCACTTCGCAAGACGGTTTTTTCTATGGACGATTTTCGCAAGATAATGTTGGGGTCTATGCTTTGCAAGATGGGTGTTTTTTTTTTAGACTGATGCTTTACAATACGGTTTTTTCCCCCATTGGAACACATTAAATAGATTTCAATGCATTCCAATGGGGAACCACGTTTCGCAAGACAATGTTTTCTCAAGACAGCGATTTTTGTGGAACGAATTAACATCATCTTGCGAGGCACCACTGTACAGTGAATGCCAGCTTACATTTAAAAAAAAACAAGAAAAGGAAGGAGGGAATAAAAGTTCTAGCCCTTGGAGATTTAATACGAGTGATTTCTGAGATCTGTATAGCCAGAAGGTTGACTTTTCAGGAGCTGGAGGAGGTGTTTCAGTGCTCTGTAAAATTCTTCTCGTGTCTAAGAAATTAAGATTAAATAATGCAGAATAGTAAAGATTCCAGAATCATGGAAATGGCAGACATTTGATTAATTTGCAGAGATTATATCGATTGCAGAATTCTGCTAGTATACAGCCTAATATATTAAATTGCAGTATTGAAAAGTGATGGTGAAGTGGCTAGAAAATGCCTCTTCCAAATGACGGATGTAAACATTGCTTATAATTCCTCACCTTGGAAATTTAGGACATAGTTCTGTGCCCTAAGGGAGTACATTCCAATGAAACCAAAGGGTTTTACCTTTTAAATAAACATGATTAGGATTGCATTGTAACATACAAGGCACACAAACCAAATGGATCTTTGGAGAAATCTTGCTACAATTCACTGGTTTAACTTGTGACTAATGTACACGGAGACAGGATGCCTAAAGGTGAAGGCAGGTGGGAAACATATAGCTGCCTAGACGTTGTTGGGCTCTGACTCACATCAGCTACATTCAGAGCTTCTTAGGGATGATGGGACTTGTAGTCTCATGCTATCTGGAAAGCTATTGGACCCTACCTTAAAAAAACAGCTTCTGTTATATGTAATTCTTTCTATTGATCAGGAATCCTGGGCATTAAAGCATGGCCGAATCCCAGTGTCCAATTCTATGACAGTACTCTTAACCTAACACCCATTTCATGATGCTGTATTCCAGCATACCTGTCACATGTAATGGGATGAGAGAAGTTGCAGTGTAGTCTAATGACATTTGGAGGGGCACTGTTTCCCTTTTTTCAAAGATGATGGAAGCTTAGGCCTTAATCAAAGGATTCTCTAGCCCTCCCCCATTGCCAAGCAAAACCTCCATTCGTTCATTTTAGGGCTCAAAAACAACCGTCCAGATCTCTTGTGCTGAAGAGGAGATGTCGTAATGAGATTTTTTTTGCCTCTTTTAATATTCCTATTCCTTACTTGCCATCTCGTGTTTGTTTCATGCATAGCTGGGAATGACATTCCAAAGTCCAACTTGCTCTTGTCTACCCACCCCCGGCTGTAATGTTGATGCTCAGAAGCTTTAACTCTTGTGTTATGAACTCCGGTGATCTGAGTCGAAGTGACGGGCTGCTTTATTCATCCCACTGGAAAACACATTTTGTATGAAAATGCTAATGCCTTCAATAAAGTCAGACAGTTCCTAAAAGAGTGATCTTTCCAAGAAATTTATAGTGAAATTAACCTCTGGAGAGGTAGTTTCTGTTGTAAAATCTCATGTACCATATTCTTTCAATGACCGGGATGGGTATTGTTGGCTCAAGACCTAGGCTAACATTCAGCTTGTGCATGCGTCAAGTGCAGTGGCTCTTGAGGCCACTTCTGGCAGCCCCAACTCCCTGGAAGAACAGGCACCAGACTTCAGTAGCCACTGGGAGGGGCGCAGTCTTTAAAACAAGCACGTGCTTGCTTTTGCCACCTTGCATGCCCTATGAGGAGAAAGGTGGCACATAAATAAAACAGGTAAACAAATAATAAATGGCTCGTAGTAATTTGGTGCCAAATGCTGAAAACAAATTACTACAATGTAATTTGTAGCCAATGCTTGCTTTGAATGCTCAGGTGAAGGGAAAGGTGGGGCTCCCTAGAGGTACTGAGAGACCAAAACTGGTCCCTAGACCCACTGGCATTGCCCACCTCTGAACAAGCAAGAGAACCAATTAGGTTCATCTGTTGGCAGAGCAGTCCCATAACATCTGTTACAATCATTCAGTTTCACTAGAGCTGGCAATCTAAAGATTCTAACACTTTTCCATGTCCTACGAGGGTCAGGTAGGTTTCAGTCAGGCGATGATAGAGTTAGCTGCCAGGGTTACTTCTGAGAAGATCCAAGTCCATAATCTGGCCACTGTCCTGCCTTTTACCCCAAAAAACTAATGTACAAAGTGCAGACACTTAGTTCTGCAAAAGGGGCATGCTGAAGCCCAGGAAAAGAAATAATTGTGTCTCCCTGAGTGAGCAGGAGTGCTTGCTTCTGTGCTACGTCACGTGCAAGCAAATATACTCTATTGCACCTCACTTCTTGGAGGATACGTACAAGGAGAATATGACATTTTCTGTTTTATTTCTGATCCATGCCTTTGTGTATTATAAAACTGAATGAAATCTTTCTACCCATGTTGGTACAGGTTGTATGTCTTGACTCTGCTAAGGATCTTTTGGGTTTGTGATACTTACTTTGACTATCAAGTGAGCATGATGACTCCATCATGGTTTCCAGGTTCTGAATAAAAGCTGACCCTTAAAATATGAGCAGGTGGAAGATCTGAAATATTCCAAGGCACCCAACTAGTGTTTCCTTCCAACTCCTGACCTTCTAAACTTTCTTTTGCTCCACCCACTTTCCCAGGAGTGGTTCTAATTTTAAGGAATACTGGGAAAAATCACTTTCCAGAATTTACTCATTGTGCTAAGTGCAAAATAATATTGATATAGATCTTTGAATATAAATAGATCCTGGGAAATTGCATATCCCAGAACTACTTAAATGGGATGTCAACAGAAGACAGTAATGAGAAGGTAAGTAGGAGGGGAAGGAGAATGCTTGGAAACCAGCATTGGTGCAAGATGTATATGGGTTATTTAGTAGAAACAAGCTCAGTCCCCCCCCCCAGTTCTTTTCATTAAGTTTTGAAAAACCAAATACTTTCCATTTTAGGTTGTACAGGAGGGTGTGTGTGTGTCAAATATCACTAGTTATTCTGGGGAAAGGGAAACCATTATATTTTGCAGATGGATTGATGAAATCACAATTTTAGAAAGCACATCACAACTCCAATTTCATTAGTCCAACTTAAATGAAGATGACTAGGATTGGTGCCAGAAGGATGGAATCTTAGATGCCCCTTTGTCTTGTGTCTTGAGGAATTTGATCTTTGCTCGTTCCTCTCTGAAATGACCTGATCTGACCCTGGCAGACTAATATGGTGTGCAGATCAGAATCCAGCTTGCAGCTGGATTTCACACATCTCCAAATGTTGCAACACATTATTATCAGCTGTTTTGATGATAGTATGCCTTTGAAAAGCAAATTAACATTTTAACATGCGTTTTGAGAGGAGATGTGCAATTACAACATTTCAGGACGGCTTTTTAAAAAAGTGCTAACCAGTTGGAAAAGAAACCGAATTGTTGGTAGAAGGTAGAAGGCTGATGCCAATTGCAATTGATACAGTTGCATAGCCTTATTATGGGAATCATATTCATAAATAGTCATAGCTAGAGATGGGCATAAACCAAACTGTCAACTGGAAAAACCAAGAAATTGGGCTGGTTTGTTGTTTGTTTCAAAAAAAAAAGAAAAAAAAAGAAAAAAAGAGGGGATCCTGTTTTGCTGAACTTCTCCGTTGGTGCTTTGTTTTGTTCAGCAAAAGGGGATGCCCATTCAATCCCTCCCCACTGCCCCCTTCACCTCCCCACCCATTCCTGCAGCTGCCACCATCCAGCCAATAGATTGTCCTCACTCCAGAGAGGGAGGCCAGCCCTTCTGCCTCTGAGCAGGGCAATTGCAACAGGATCAGGTAGGGAGACAATGGGGGGCAATGGGAAGGTGTACTTGCCCCCCCAGGCATCAGCCCTTCTGCCTCTGAGCAGGGCAATTGTAACAGGATCAGGTAGGGAGGCAATGGGGGGGGGCAGTGGGAAGGTGTACCTGCCCCCCCAGGCATGAACCGGAAAAACAAACCACAAACCAGTTCATTTTTTCTGGCAGTTCATGGCTCATGCTTAGCCACGAACCACGATCCAGCCTGATTCATTGTTTTTTTCAGTTTGTGCCCATCTCTAATCATGGCCAAAACAAAATGTTATTAAATACACTGTGGATCAGGTAAAAGCAAAAATGGATGATTGTCTGAATAGACCCACTGCAATGGTGAAAACCCACGTCTTTTGAGCTTCCAACTATAGAAAGTCCTGACAGTGGATTCATGTGGGATTCATTTCTTTTTTGTGCCAGCATTGCCACTGTGCAAATAAAGAGCAGGTTTCTTTGCACAAGATTTGCTCCAGTGGTATGTTCTGACAGTACTTCAATGGCAGACCTTTCTGCGCAGCAGAAGCTTTAACACAATGCCGATTTCCAGGGCCACGGGGAACAGTGTGAAATGCAGCTCTGATGTCATGGTAATATCTCAACATCAAATGCCTCTGCTTTTGCTGGGAAAGACATAACTTCTCCTTTTTCAGATGAGTTGCATTTCCTAAAGTTACAACTGGGTACATTGAAAGGAGGAGTATACAGAGCTGTTTTGTGTTAATCCATTTGGGAGCTGGTGAGTGAATCTCCACCCTCAAAGACATGCAAAGTGAAGGTAACTTAGACCATGACTAGACAGGCATTCCCTGTCTGTCATAGATAATTTCAATATTTCCTCTAATAATGATTGAACATAGTTGCTAATCCTGTGGTGAGTTGCAGTCCAAAACTCCTGAGTAACCCAAGGTTAAGAACCAGTGACTTAGACCATGACTAGACAGGCATTCCCTGTCCCTCATAGATAATTTCAATATTTCCTCTAATGATTGAACATAGTTGCTA